ACGATCTCTCGCGGCAAATTTGTCAGTGGGTATAGGTGATTTGTGTTTTGATGTTGCATTTTGGAATTGTAGTTTTCGTACTTACAACGAAGTTTTGCATTTTAATCAGTACCGTGAAACGATGGTGTATTTTGGGAGGGTTTTTTTGCGCTCATAATTGATGTAGTTTGTTCGTAGATTATGATATTTTTGTCCTGATTTAAATGAGAGATGTTTACTGTTTTTTTTCAGCTGTGTTATCAGAATCACAGAAATTTTCCCGGATTATATAATATACACGCTGTAAATGACTGTATGAATTTCATATATATCAGTTATATATATGTTCATGTTCAAGAACCAAAATCACATATTGTAAACATGTGAAAATTTCTTGAGAACGTTATTGAATGTTTTGTTTTATAGTAGATCTATAGGTCCGATTCATCGGGTCCGCCTCCTACGGCTGGAGAGTCGAGCGACGGTCGTTTCTGGTGTCGATGCCTTACCGGTCACCCTCGTAGGACGCTCTCTGCTACAGGACTGCCGGACGACGGCCCCTCTTCGAACTCTTGTCTTTAGCACCACAGACAACATCATTATAGAACAAGAGACAACTTTATTGGTGAAACATCACACACTGCGATATCTATTCTGCTTTATTAGTGCAGTACCTTTAAGTACTAGTATACGTGGGCATTCAGCATCACGCTGTTCGGAAGAAATATTATCTGCAGAGGGGCAGAAAGGATATGTGTTCCAGTATTGACCACAAAACAGGGCTAGGAATCATGTGGAACTAATATGTGGTCGTCTGTTCCTGCCAATCAACAAACCTTGGAAATTACGTTTACGTCTGAGCTGGCTTATCCTCGTAAAGTCTCCGAGTCATGTACGCCAGCTTGGCTTCTACCTAGCGTTTATATATGTATGTGTATCATATGCAGACCTTTTATTATTGTACATATTTATATACTTGTATGTAGCATGCTCAGTTACTTGAAATTTGTAGTAAATTGTATGTGCATCCAGAGCTGTCTCCACATCGCTGACTGGCAAGAACCCTCAAAGCCCGTATTATAGGACTGCTGAGCCAGAGAGGGACACACAGAAGTGATGTCTATGGTCTGGCCGCAATCGTCGAGAACGACGGACCAAGTATATCTTGATGAAACTTATAAGTCGTCCTTAGACTGACGAACAACAACAACAACAACAACTACTACTAATAGTTGAGATTTGATTTTCTGCACGTATATGGCTATGATTGGTACAAATCCATGAAATAATCGTTGTACCCGGTGTGGTCACGTTGGTTCAGTGTGTAGTCTGTAGTCGTTTATCTGAAAATTTTTGCATATTGACACTCCTACTCAGTGGTAAAGTTCATATTATTGGGAGCAAAGATGGCGACGACAGCGTGGGTTAGCAATATCCCACCATTCAACGCCTGTACAATACAATCTTTTCAAATGGTAATGTTTGTGATTAGAGGTGAATAGGTAACGCCAACTAATGCCTTTGTGCACCAAGGTAAGAGCTAAGCACAGTGTGTAAAATGGAAACAATACGTTAGCGTGGCTAACGAAAGCTCACGAAGCAGAACTTTAAAAAAATCACGAATACGGCCATTTTATCAATACATGATCGGCTAAATTCACTGCACTGACAAACCTAAAAATCAGACCCTGATCAGACATCATGGACCCCAGATGGAACAAGTAGACACTATACTCAATACATATCGGGCGCCATATTGGATTTTCTGAAACGGGAGGAACTTGACGAAACTTGGAATTCAGAGAATGACAGTTTCATCGGCAGAAAAATAGGTGAAAATGATTTGAGAAATAAAGCTCATTAACAGTAAACTTCCGCATGTGTAACCAAGGAGGTTAGATTTAAAAGAAACTTCAAAAGCACGTTGTGCCGACGACAACCTAGTCATCAGTAAAATGACAAGGTATGCTAGAGTACTAAGTATGTGAAATAAAAGAATTATATTTTTGATAGATATAAATTTTACAGATGCCACCATGCCAATGCATCGGTGCGTTGTTCGTCGGATGGTCATGATTTTGGCGATCTGTTTTGGCACAGGCCCGGCCATTAGCTGTGCGGCTGATCCCATGTTGAGTTTCAAAATTTCCGCCAAATTTCTGATGTCAAATTATCAGCGATGAAGTCGAATATTATTGGCAGTTCAATAATGTTTTAGTCATACTCATAGTATCAAGTTGAGCCTGTTGCCGTTGTCTCTTGAATTGCTAAGGGCAGAGTTGTCCGAAGTACCTAGATGTCCTGATTTCGTTGCAATGTACTACTACTACTAGTACTAGTATGTACGACATAACCCGTTTTAGGGAGCAGATTAACACGCCGCAACGGCAGCGTGGATAACGAAAATAAAACTCTTAGATGCGAAAATTCGTTCATTACGAAAATCGTTTCACGGTACTGATTAAATTGCAAAACTTCGTTGTAAGTACGAAAACCACAATTCCAAAATGCAACATCAAAACACAAATCACCTATACCCACTGACAAATTTGCCGCGAGAGATCGTTGCAATGTGCACGTGACAACCGTTTTAGATCGTTTTGGTGTGCGGGTAAACACGCCACAACGGCAGCGTGAATAACGAAAAAGATGCGAAAATTCCTTTATTATTAAAACCGTAAGTACGATATACACAAAACATTTGTATTAAAAAAATAGATCTTACCCTTTTGATGGCCTTCTGCACCCACCAACATGGTTTTACGTGAAGAACCGCCACACGTCGTGATGTGCTGACAAACACGCGGCAACGACTTAGAAGCCCGCGTTCTGGCGCGCAGGCTAACACGTGGCGACGGCGACTCGGTAGCGGTTCGATCTTTGGATTTACCCGCGAGTTCTAATCGGAAGATTTCATCGACTTTCCCCACAGAACGTTCTAAATTTATAAGATACACAATCGGTGAAATGCATACGCTCACTTTATTTTCTCCATACCATATTTTTTGGTCAAAAGCACATCTACAACTCGCGCCGTATCGCCGTATCAAAATAAGTGGCTACGTTCTGTCTGACCGCCGGCCTCGGCCGGGCGCGGCGCGGCGCGCAGTTTATACAGCTATTTTAGTTAACGTTACTCCAGACAAGGAAAAACACAAACTATTACTGGAGATACTACAAAAGAAAGTGCAGATTAGGACATGTAGTGTTCCTTCCTTTATTTGTAAAATGGATGGCTGAACGAGTCCCGCGATCGGCCGGTCAGCGACGGGCGATGCACGAACTTGCCGATGATTCGATGTTTTCGTAAACTCAGCCAGTCATAAAAACTCAACCACTACAAAATATGATTCTTGAACTATTTTTTGAGTGGGCTATTACTACCTGTCCACATAAATTTGTTGATATAGATACAGTAAAGACAGCCGTTCTTGGTGCCCCATATAGCACCCTATGACTGTCGTCATGGTGTGTTCCCTGTGCACGTCAAAGCCACGTTATAGCGTGTCACTCAGCACGCTTACATAGCTCAATGTACAAACTGTGACAACAGTGGGAGGGGAGAAAGGTGTTCAGACAATGTGTTCATCAGACAGTGGTCCTATATTAAACACCCCAGTGCCTTCAGTAACGATAGATGCAGCACCGGATATGGGTCACAGTGCTGTAGCGGCACCTGCAGACAGGAGTGGAACAACCGGTGGGTCCATGCCCCTAGGTTTGCAGAGTCCTGTAGCAGGGATCGGTTACTGTAGCTCCCTACAAACAGCAGGGTCCAATCATCGTCCAATTACTTCAACCATCCGCAAGAAACTGTCCCCATCCAGGAGAAAGAAGCGGCTGCCGTCCATTCCTGAAGAAGCTCGAGACACTCCAGATTCGGATATTGAAGACCTGGAGACAGAAGATCGTAACAAACTATCTGACGTAACAGCTGGGAAAGAGACAGCAGAATTGGAAGATATGACAGCAAGAAGGGAAGATGATGCAAGATGCACTGCTGAGGTAACTACGACAGAGAAAGCATGTCAAGGTGTGGTTGAATTTTCTTCTGCCTTAAGAAAAGATATAAATAGTAACGGCCATTGTGATGTTTCCGACAATATCGCAGAAGATCTAGATGGTCAAGTGCATGATACAACCAACACCTCTAAGACTGATCAAATGATATTCCCTGAAGCTACATTACCGAGCTCAACTCCAAGTACAACTAAGGATAATCCAGGTTGTGTAGATGGGATGGAAAGCAGAGGCAACGTAGAACATGTTGACAATAAGACAATGACAACAGAGAAAGCACCAGACAAAACGGAAGCCATATCTCCTGACACATCAGAAACCCTCCATTATAATGGGCTGGGTGCAACAGACACAGTCAACATGGATCAAGTGCTATTGTCTGAGGGCGAATCACTCGGATTAGCCCCTCCACTGAGCACAGGTAAAGTGAATTCTGGGCACGTACAAACAACTTTCACTCAACAACACAAAACAATGTGTCAGCCTGAGGCAGGTAACACGCTTTTGAAGGAAACTGCTGGGGTGGATCTGCTGTGTAATGGTACAGAAGGAAGCCCAGGGCACAGTTCTAATACGTCTGAGGCAAAACTAGACGTCAAATCTGACTTGTCCACAGGTGACCCTGATCATGTGGATACAACCGTAGAAGGCAAAAATGAACTGTTGGAAGAAAAATTGAGTGATCCAGATGAAATACAAGATTATGTAACATTTGCAGAAGGAAAGGCTATGACTGTAAAAAGTGCCTCGGGAAAAATCCTGACAAACAACCATCTCATCTTACCCCACGCCGAATTCCTGAATACACTCAGCAAAGAGGAGTTAATTGCCAAAATTGCAGAGCTCACCCAAGAAAATGTCACCCTAAAAGCTATTCAACAAGCACCAAGCAATTTGAAAGTAAATGGCAGTGTTATAGATGAAAGGGTTGAGAACTTAGCAGGAGAAAGCAGTGTTGAAACAAAGGAGCCGTACATTTCAACACCAGAACACGACAGCGTTGCGGTACGAGTGAAACTGAAGGAAATGACGAGAGATGTCAGTGAGTTGCTACAGGAGCAGGCAGAACTGAACGAGGAAGTGGACAACTTGAGGCAGTGCCAAGAGAAAGTGGACTTCCTCATCCTGGAGAACAAAAGCCTTCTGTTTGAGGAGAACGGATGGTACGCTGATGAAGAGGACATCGAATCAGAAGCGGACACGGACCTTGAAGATGACAGTGTTCTACTGAGTCTTAGAGAAGAGTTAGCCAGCGTGCAACAACAGCTGAAGGAAAAGGACAGAAGGTTACGAGAGGCAGAAGAAACTGTAGCACAGCTGACTGAAGAGCTGGACAGATTAAAAGTGGACAGAAAAGCTGCCAAGAAGCCGAAATCGAAAGCAGAAAAACGAAGACGGTCGACAACATCCCTGGAAGTCAGCGTCCTGGAGTCGCACATGGATTTTTCCACAAAGGTGCAGGGTATCCTGGGGGAGGTACGGGAGCATGTACAGAAACTGGAGGCAGAAAATGCTAAACTGAAGGATGAAAACAAACAGCTGGAACTGAAGTTGACAAAGGAGGCAAAGTCCTAACTGTGCCATGTAAAGAGGTTTTCTGTGATCAGCTTTTGCTCACAGACAGATGGATCAGATCTAGACATCAACAATATCACGGAAGGCTGCAAGTTAGTACAAATTAATACTTGCCTAGACTTTTGGAAATGTAAACAGAGTAGAACAAAATGAAGACTAAGTGACAACAAAACTTTTGATTGTAATCTTTTCATAAAACTTTGTAGCTCTATGCTGACAAAGTTGTTAATATTTTATCCTAGAAATATTGTAAATTTTGTTCTTGAAAATGTTTTAGGTGTACAGGGTAATACTTAACACAGGTTCATTTATATAAAGACAGACTACAGACAATATGATGTGACGTTTACAGTTTTTATTCCTATTCTTTGCACACTTACAAAATTAAAATTTGTGATCACCTGCAAGCATGACAGTGTAAAATATACAATCTTCCTCTCTTATACAGTGTAAGGCACAGGAATGTGTTCAGATAAAGGTAGCAGCAATTTCTAATCAATAATTTAACATCTCACAGCAACATTTACAAGCACACTGCTCTGTAGAAAGGTCTTGCCATTCAGTAACTGCAGCACAAAGACATTGGAAATATAACGTTTCTAGTGTTTCAGTCTTGTCAAATCCGAAGACCTACATGTACAAGCCACACATTTCAACACCAACACTCGTATTTCACACCAACTTCAGTTAACATTTTATGGACGATACAAGTATTTGGCTGGACAACCAACAAATTATGTATAGTACATTAAATTTTACAATGCAATTTACTGTACAAAGAACTGTGATCAGCATTGTGGATGCTTTTCTACAAAATAGGCACAAAATATACTCTCTTGAACAGTAAGGTACATCATGGACAGTATAACATACATACAAGGCTGGATGGTGTAGCTAGGTGAAGTTGAAGATATGTGTACATGTACAGCATTTGCATCAATTTTGTTGGTCACATTTACAGCACACACTGTCACATTTATGTATCATTGTGATTGGTCCAAAAGGCACTTTTGTGACAATAAGGCACATGCATAGTACACAGTAAGGCACATTGTGGACAACATTCAATGCACCATAATCATCATACACATGAAGACTATTTCATCTAAATGACGCATTGACACACAGTGAATATTGTAAAATCCCAATGGTTACATTTACTAGGGCACATAGTGGACAGTAGTAAAGACAGACAAAGCCAGACTATTCTATCTACATGTCTAATGTCTAAGAATGAGTCTATGTTTTCCTGGTCCTGATGTGTAATGCAGCATTAGGAGTGAGCCCACAGGAGTGTAGAGTGGCGGTGTTGTCCCTGTAAACCTTGTTAGGGAAGGTGGTCAGCAGTTCATACTCCCCTGATCCAGCAGGTCTGGTAAAAACACAAAAAAAGGGGGGATAAGGTTCCTAACGAATACTTCTACTGCTACTGTAAACAGAACACTGTTATATAGTATAGTACAAAAAGAGTAGAAAAACTCTATAACTTAAGAGTTCTGAAGACTTGCCCTACAGAAAAAAGCTACAGAAAACACACTTTGACATACAAGATGACTACAAAAACTCTAATGAAAAATAACTGCAGATTGCCAAAGACTTGGCCACAAAGAAAGCCATGTGTACTCTAACTTGTACAAAAAGAGTAAAAACTCTATAACTTAAGAGTTCTGAAGACTTGCCCTACAGAAAAAAGCTACAGAAAACACACTTTGACATACAAGATGACTACAAAAACTCTAATAAAAACAACTGCAGATTGCCAAAGACATGCCCTAGAGAGAAAGCCATATGAAGAGAGCTTTAACAACTCTTTCTTTTCCTGGCTTAGAAACATCTAAGATATTCTTCAAAGATTTGTACTTCCCGTATTAAAAAAAAACAGGAAAGTGAATCTTCACACCAGCAGTAGTAAAATATCTGTCTCACCTGTAGTGTTCTAACTGACGTCGTACGTCCCCTATCGTGTCTGAGAATCGCATCTTTAAGATGAAGTTCTGTTCCCCTGCCTTGATTCTCAAGGTGGTGACGTCCCTGGCAGAGGGAGGTCGTTCTGCCTCCGATTTCTCTAACCTGACAAGGACACAGGAAAGTTAAAGGAGACATCATGGGCAATGTTATGTCTCATGTAGAACATGCCTATCAAAGGCAGGACATCCTTTAATGTAGCAAGTAAAATGCCTTTTATAGCTGATATTTTTGATAGTGCAATCTTATTGACAAGTGTGTTGGGTTCTTTAGTGTGCAGAGGTTTTGAGGCTACCACACAAACACAGGACTGAATGCTTGATCCACCCTCCAAAGGATGTTACACATTTGCCAGTGCCATATATGGAAGTGTTGGCTCAACCCACCTTTCCTTCATCTCCTTGGCAACAGGAGTGTCAATCACTGTCACACTGGACCTGTCACCATTGCCGCCCTGCAGGGACCAAGGAGACATCTCATCAACAATATCAAAGCCATCACAAACTTCAACTTTCCTTGCACTTTCAATGCTCTATGATTTCAAAGTCAAGCCCAATGTTTTATAATTTGGCAATCATTATTACTGGTACCCATTTTGTAGTTTAGCATGAGGATAGAACAATTGTGAAGGTGATGTTTCACAGACCAGGTAAGGATACCCACCTTAAGTGTTTCTCCTAGAGATGCCCTGATGTCGATAACCCTGCCTCCTTTAATGACGGAGGAAGGCACCTTGTTCAGGAACTGGTCAACACTCATCATTGGGACTGTGGGAGGAAAACAAACTTTCATTGTGATATATGAACATTCAGTAATAGAGTAGACTAAGAGTAGAGTAGAGTAATCTTCTATAATTAAACAAAACGTGGTTAATATCAAACTGCCATCTTCCTCTCATATACTAGTAATTCGTCTTAGGGTAAACTTATGAGAGTTTTAGATTTATCATGAATTGCTTAATATCAAAAATTCAAACTGAATATAGAAACTAACTTAACTCTTGGTTCGTATTGGGTATTCCTTTTCTGAGCTGTCATAGAGTGTTATAAGTTGTTTGGGGTAATGTAGCCAGCTGCCGCCGCGCCGCATGCCTGTGAAGCTGGTGAGTTATGCCAAAGGGCAGTTATACCGGCTATACAGATAGACAGAAAACAACACATTGGCTGATTAATAGACAAACCAACTGACCCGGTGCCTCGCTTGTCTCCCTCAGCCCAGCATCGCTCCCCCAGCTGTGCCCCTCCTGCCTGTTCTCCAGGTTGCTAGGCAACAGACGGGAGGGTTTGGTGTTCCCGCCCAACACGTGACCCGACCCTGGGAACTCCTCCTTCCATCTCCTGTCCTTGAACATCGTGTCTCTTTTGTCTGAAACCTGGAATTAGGAATTATAGAATCTTTTCAGAACAGAATAAATTATCTTTGTAAAATTTTAACATTTCTTGTGTGTTGTTTATTCGATATCCATTAGATAAGAATACAGCTAATCTAGCTTTCCTAGCTTTCATCCATAAAAATATACTCAGGTTGTCAGGTTGAAATAATGGTAAACTGGAATAATTTTGTGTAATTTCAGTTCAATATATATATATATACACACAGACACGTGACCGAACTTCCAGCTTGCCATGACACTCAAACAGATTATTTTTCAGCCTACACGCCACAGACAAAAAACAACGACTTTAAAGCTTAAGTAAACTGCCACTTACAGTGAAAGGCACCCCATCTGGGAACCTGGTCTGGAGTTCTGAGGGGAAGTAACCGTCCATGATGTCTTGTAGAAACAGCTAAAAGTCAACAAAACTTGGTTAATCAAGACTTGTAACAGTTCTAGCAGTAAACATTCAAATAAAGAGATTGCTATTCAATTAAATGTAATAATTTAAATCATATTCATTTGCTATAACATTGCTGTGTTATCATTTCAAGCTTTCTCCCACGTCCATGACAATATACCCATCTATCCACAAAAATTGATGCTCAGAACAACATTCAACAGTTCCAAAACCCACCTGTGTGGAAGGCTCAGACATGGGTCTGAATGGTCCGTTGAACATGAAGATGCCGTTTGCATACAGGGTCAGGGGGATGGGGTCTGCTCTCTGGAACAACATGTAACAAACCTTGTCATTAGATAATCTATATGCACTATTTACAATAACTAATGGGCATATGAGTGTTTATTAAATCATAACAGACCTTTCTCATCTTCAAAGTCATATGGTAGCCCCATGACCATACAATGCTGAAAGTGCATGTAGGCAAAGCTTACAGAGGGGTAGCAGCTTTGTTACTAAAAACACTACTGATTGTCATCTTTGCTGTTGAATTTCAACACTTACAATTTGACGAAAGTGTTTTAGCAATGCACAAATGTATTGCCTTGACAAACATGACCAGAAATCATATTTCTCACCTGCAGTGTGGCTCCTTCTGAAGTCTTGACAATTTTCTGCTCCCCTTCCCCTGCTAGCACATTCAGGTCCTTAAGGTTCTCTATAAGGGTGTTGAAGTCCACCTTAAAGTCGGATGAAGACACCACAGATGTCCCTAAAAATAAAACACAAGGAAGGACATTGATTCTCAACCTTTGAGGTCCTGGTTGGTAGCTATTAATCAACCAGTGAGTAAAAGGGAAACAAAGGAAGAGCACAGAATGAGCAGGATTTTGACTCACCAGTTCGGTAGGACGCAGCTGATCCAGGTAAGCAGGAAAAGGAGAGCAGGAGTGAAGCACAAGCCAGGGGAAAAAAGCCAGGGGAAAAGCGACAAGAACTGTTCAGGCTTCATCAATTTATGATATCAAATAGAAGCCACATGATGATAATCATGTTATAACCAACCTTGTGTGCCACAGCAAATACATTCATATAGCATGTGTGCATTGCTGCAATGGTTGTATCGCATATTCCAGAGCTCAAAACTAAAACCAGGTCACTAGTATAATTAATATGTCAACTAACTACAGCCTTGACAATTACTATACAGAAAGTTGACATATTATCATACTAGACTATAAGTGACCTAAAACAGTGCTCAGGGCCAAACCAGCTGGCCACATTGATGGAAGACTTGAGGTCTGAGGTGGAAGACTTTTGTTGAATGCTGTGCTACCCCTATGGCTGACTGATATGCTACAAGACTGGTGATGATACACAGTAATCAGTCTAGAAGTCTAACCAGGTTTCCACATGGTGTTAGTGCCGACTGTGGTTTGATCTATCCTCCCCTCTGGTCCAGCCTGCTCCTCCTCCCCATCCTCCTCCAGCTCTCCCCCCAGCTCCACATACACGCTGGAGTCCGGCCGGGTCTCCTCACCCACCCACACCATCCCGTAGTCTGCCAGGAACGTCTGGGGGAAGAATGTCAGCAGGTTGGTGTATAACTCTTCCATTCACAAACAAAGGAGTTTACAAACCTACATTTTTTGCTTCACTTTGCCTTCACTGAAGCAAAATTTCATGGTCAGAGGAGAAGAACCTGTTCATGAAACTTGATCTTCACGGTGGCAGAAGTGACAGTGAAAACAGTGAACATAAAAATGCCACAAAAAATCACGAAGAAACAATATGTGACAATACTCGTTGAGGACTGCAGTCTTAACACTAGCCTGGTTACCAAACCTACATGTATTATAGCTCCCGAGTCCTACATCCTCTCCTATTTGCGGAGAGGATGTAGGACTCGGGAGGTATAATAGGTTTGGTAACCAGGCTATATTAACACTGCAACAGTGACACCAACCTGCAGTGCATAGTAATATCAGTCAGTATTGCCCTAAATAAGGTAACAGTCGGTTACCAAAACATTGGCTTGTATTAAAGCTCCTTTAGTTGTGAATGAAGAAATTTGTTGTTGTACACAGCAGACCACACAGTTATAACCAGTCAAATAACAACATGAACATTTGTTTACCTCCATCTCGTACACCTGCTGCTGCAGGAGTAAACATTTCCTCTCCAGCTCCTGTACACGACTCGGGCTGTCCTTACTGGCATCTGGGACAATATCAGAAACAAATCATCACAGTCTTATAGAAATAACATGCTTCTGCAGCTTCCTTAGAGGCTCAAATGGACAAGAGAGAGGTATAATGAAAGGAACTTCCATTTCAGCACCAAGGAGAGGACCTATAGACTATTCATATAAGCACCGCCTTTGTTGTTGACAAAGACTACATGTACTGTACAAACCTCTTGAGCTGTATCAAGTGTCTTTGTCATTGCAAAATAATTTCATTGAGACATACAGGATTGAGTGACTATGTTTTGTGTTCCACCGCAAGTATCTCTATGTGCCTTTTAAATGTCTTCTTCATCACAAAATAACTTATTTAAGATATGCAGATTTGACTACATTCTCTTGCCTCAATTGCGTATGTGTAGGAAGCAGGAAAATGACTGAGGTATTTCTTAAACCACAGTCAACAGAAGACTTCCACTGTGTGCATGTCTTGATGTCAGTCCCGTGTTTTACACAGACTTGAGTGACTTCACTGTCTGTGCAACGCAAGGACTATCAGTAAAACGTCAGTGCAAACCATGGAAAAATAACTGTACAAGTGTACATAAGTACATTTTGTAATATACTACTACATGAAGGTTGAGTTTACATCTGAATAGACACTGGAATTTCAGAAAATCTAACTAGCATTATAAGCAGATTCTTGGTAATGGATATATCTAAAAGATTTGACAATTACAAACTTCACTGGAACAGAGAGCACCAAGTTGAGATATTGGTTGTCAGCACCAAGTTAAATGTAAGAGATCTACCAGGAAGATTGTCTCAAGTTCCAGTGTCTTTCTAAACTTTCAGTGACCAGTGTTTAATAGAACAGTAAGAGTTCAATACTACAATGTATAGACCACGAACAAAAGACTACAATAGATTGTAGCACATGTAGGAAGGAGATAAATGTCTGAGGGATTTCTTCCACCTCAGCCAGTGTGACTCTTCCATAGTCAATCTCATGACAAAGTCACAGAAACCTGAGTGATTTTATATTGGTCCTCTACTTTCATAGACCATGTGCCATAACAACTTTTCTGGCTATGCCAACAGAGGACCAAATGTCAGAGCAGATAACATTAGTCAGTGTCATTATCTTAACACTTGGTTCCTTAAATTTGGTAAGATGTACAAGTACCTTCCACATTTCAAGAGAAACATGTTTTAGCTTTTTACATGTAGATGTATAAGTAATATAACTTTAATTATTCAAACAAAGTTTGGCGATGCAGTTGAATGGAAGATTTCTTCTTTAGATTTACATATCCATATTTTTGTAAAAGCTTTTGTGTTTTAGAGATACTTTAATTAGAAAATACATGTACCAAATTTCTGGTGTTTTCTAAAATCTTGCCAGTGTAATAGACCATCTGTTGCTAAAGTGCTGGGTACTGCTGCAATACTCATTTCAACCTACAGGAGGCAGTGCTGCACAAAGCACTCAGCTGTACCTTGTGCTTTGGTGAGAAGTTTGGTTTTCTCCTCCAAGACTTTGATTTTCTTGTCCTTCTCGATGACCTCCTTGCTGTAGTGCGTGACTCGGCTCTCCAGCTGGGCGATTCTCTTCATCATGGTGGACATCAGCTCATGGTCTGTGGGGCCTGCGGGAAAATATGTGTTAGACTGGGCAAAAAAAATAGCTACCTTTCATATAAATACATTAGAGAATGTTTAGATTATAGAAACTGTAGTTGTAGAGGTACTTGAGAAATATTTCTTGTGTCCATTAAGTTCACTTTAAAACAGACACTGGCACTGCATAGCCTGGCCATGGGTGCCATCCGATTTGTAACAGCAACCAATTTTTTTCAGGGCTGCCGTTACAAATCGGAGGGCACCCAGGCTAGACACTGCAGGCACAATTGTAGAAAATATCATCATAATGGATTTAGCAATACAGGTCTCAACAATATGAGCAACCATTTACATAATAATTATGTAGTCAATAAATAAATGTACATGTATTTTAATTTTTGACCAAAGAGCATGTGAGATACAATGGTAAATTGGTGTCGGTCTGGAAATCGCAGACATGCAGACACCTTGACACGCATAATGGAATTCTTATTATAACATTGACAGCAACAAAAGCAGCAGTCACAGTCAGGAATTTGCTCTGTGTACACCTGCAGACACATCAGCATTCAAATGAGAACAAGCTTGACACTCACAAAGCTGTTGTGTTTTAATTTTGCCCTGAAATATGTTGGACATTCGCCAACACTGTCAGGTGATGTCAGGAACTTGAATTGTGTAAACAAGTAGGCAGCAGACATGCTAATACCAGGATATGGCAAAGTGCACAGTTTGCTGACGTCAAATGGCTGACGTCACAGGCAGGCTTAAAAAGGACAACAAAATGGCGGCTGCATCACCAAGTCTGGGGGAGCAAATCCGTGAAGAACTGTCCTGTAGTGTCTGCCTGGAGCTGTTCACCAGGCCCAAGGTGCTGCCCTGTGGACACACTTTCTGCCAGGACTGTCTACAAAAGCTTTCAGGAAAGGAAGGGACCTTCCAGTGTCCAACCTGTCGTCTGCAAGTCAAGTTGCCATCCAAAGGGGTTGCAGGTTTGGCAGACAGTTGCATTGTGGCCAACATGTGCGAGAGACTGCAAAACCAGGCAAGGCTGACCGAAGGAGTGAGGGAGCAACCCCAGTCTAGAAACAGGTGCAGCTTGCATCCCTTTGAAGATATCAAAGTGTACTGTAAAGAGTGTCAGATACCAGTTTGTGAACAGTGTTTAGAAGAGGCTCATGATGATCATCGTACAACAACCATCAAAAAAGCTGCACAGGAGAGGAGATCTACAGTCCAGGCCTTGATCAATGAGGGAAGGAAAATTCTGGAAAATTACTGCAGATTCCTTACAGATCTAAGAGAGAAAGAGAAAGCACTGAATGAACAGAAACAGCAGACAGACAACAACATCATTCAGACATACAACACATTTCTGTCTGAAGTGGAACAAAACCACACAAAAAACTTAGACAGAATACAGAAGGACAGGACCAGAGTGTTGGCAGATGTCAATGAACTGTCTGCTGCCTGTGATCGAGCAGAACAAGACATGGAGCAGGGAAAAGTCGGGTTTCTTAGTCAGGAACTCATTCTTGAAACAGTTGTAGAAAAGTACAGAGATAACCCAGAACCAACTCCTTTCCAAACTCAGCCTGCTGTCTTTCAGCCCACAGACACCCTAGTGTCACTCCTGGGACATGTGACGGTCCAGTCTTTTCCATCTGCACCAATCCCAGCAGCATCTAGTAATGGTGCAGCAGAGGGTACAGGTCATCACCATGGTAACTCAGGGCAGGGAGAAAATCAGTATCAGAGGGTGACATTTGGTGGAAGAGGAGATGGAACAGAGATGTTTGACAATCCAAGTGGCGTTACCGTGTCAAAGGAAGGAGAGATTTTTGTAGCAGACAGTGGGAACCAGAGAATCAAAGTCTTAAATCTGCAAAGAGCATGTTACGGTCAGTCTCCCAAATTTGAGTCAAATGGACAGTACATTAACCCAGATAATTTGGCCATGAATGGGAAGGAGAACCTGTGGGTAGTGGGGAGGACGAAATATGATGCATCTTTTACTGGACATTTGAATGCAAAATGGTCTTACAACATGGTTTGGCTGTCTTACAACATGTTTGAACTACAAAAGACAGGGTGGATCAGAGGCGTTGCCATGGACATCAAGAGAAACCACGTCCTCATCACACAAACCACAGGAGACTGGCCCAAACGGAATGGGGAAGTGCAGGTGTTCCAGCTAAATGGAAAACTAGTGATGGTTGTAGGTCAGCAGCAGGGGATGAAGTACCCACAGTACATCACTGTGGATGGAGAAGGGAACATTCTTGTGTCAGACTATGACAATCACTGCATCTATGTGTACAACCAGGACGGAGAGTTTCTGTTCAAGTTTGGAGGTGAGGGAAGTGGTGAAGGTCAGCTGAAGCATCCCCGTGGCATCTGTACAGACAAGGCAGGGAACATCATTGTGGCAGACAGGGGAAACAGTCGTGTGGAGATGTTTGACAAGACAGGAAAATTCCTCAAACACATCACTATGGACGTCGAGGAACCAAAAGCTGTTGCGGTGGCAGCACAGGGACAGGTTGTGGTGACTGATGACTCAAACCACACAGTCTCCATTTTCACTCCTAAAACTGTGTCAGCTCCTGTAGTGACCAGCGGCGATTTCCTAGGCTAAACCTGAGCAACATATGACTGTTGAATCTTTTCTTTTAAAGTTCCAATGAATGCACAATGTCTTGTGACTAAACGTTATGGTTATGGTCATTATAATACAGGTACCTGAAGGATTTATGAATGAATGCAAAAAAAGGAATGTCTAACTAGTTTTCAACAAAATTACTTGCACAAAAAGTTGACAGAGAAAGAAGACCAAATTGTACAATTACTCTGACTCTGAGCCTTAAAACTAGCAACCTGAAGACTGAAACTATATTTTTCAACTTTATGTAGGACAGCACGTAAGAAAGTGACATTAGAAATTCCACCAAAGGCTGTTCTAGTACGCATAGAGTAGATTAATTTTCTATAATTGCAGTCATACATTGTAACAGTTGGTTTGTACCTGGTCCAGGTGTGTTTTTGCCTCCTTTGGGACTGTGCCTGGGGCTGGCTCCTACAGAGGCGAAGGGGCTGCGAGTCTTGGGGGAGTTCCCCAGGCTGGAGGAGGGGGAGTCTCCAAAAATCTCCTGCAACATCGACTCCTCATCATCTGAAAGGAGGCAGTTTATAAGACATTATAGTTATATACATGTAATCAGAGATTGAAGTACATGTATTTGTGGTTTCATGCTTAAGTGTTCTTCTGTTAGCAATTATCATTCCAAACATTTCTTTAACACTAACAGCAGACCTTTACTCAAGTTTAGATGATGGCATCAATTTTGTATTTAGTTATTTGAATGTACAATAGTACTAATGTGTGTATGGCAGCAACACCTTGATTTATAATATACATGTAGATACGACAGTCAAACCTGTTATAAGGACAATGGTAGGATAGGAGAGGGAAACAGGCCAAAATGTTTAAGTCATGAGTTTATGTAACCGGCCAAAACCACCAGTTTAATCACAACCACATCCAACTGGGGAAACCTGAACCCTAAAACCACAAAATTCCTGTAAAAACTGGTTTGAATCACCAGGAATTTTGTGCCCTGGGTAACATTTTACCATCACCCAATTCCTCACATTCCTGTCATTCCCTGCCTCCCCCCTCTACACAGGATATCGGCTACTAATCATGAGGGCGGCACCAACATTCCCCTGACAAGGCTCAAGGATTAGTCACACAGGAGGAGATAAGGGAAGGAGGAACCTTAGACCACACCTAGTCTCCACCAGACTAACAATGTGGGCTTAAAAAACTGTAAACTTTAACCAAATAATGAGAATAGTTTCACAGGATGAGTTTGGTCACCATAGAATTTGTTTGCTCATGCAAGGGGGAAATGCTTACCACCCTGCCCACTTTATACTGACCCAGCATTCTCAAAAAAATTTTGAGTAGGTGGCTGCTATGAAAAAGTAGC